CAACTGCCACTTCCTTGTACTGTGCTTTTATTTTCCTTTTAGGGCAAAGGTACCGTATCTACCCGAGTATAAGCCAACCCGAATATCAGTTGAGGCACCTAATTTTACCACAAAAGCTGCATTTAAAAACGTGCTGAAAAACTCAGCTTATGCATGACTATATATGGTAATCTAATTCCTTAGGCTTTATGAGGAAAATCTTTCTCCCAAGAACCAGGGAAAAAAGACTTCTGTACTGTTCTTTTAAAAGTGGCAAAAATAATGAATTGCTCTGTGCCAGCACTTGAAATGCATCATTTCATTTAAGCTTCATAGTAACTCTACCAGGCAGCTACTGTTATGCTGGCCTGAAATCTTGAGAGAAGTATTTTTCTGTTCTTTTTTTAAATCATTTTACTGGGGGCTCGTACAACTCATCATAATCCATCCATTATCCATTGTGTCATGCACATTTGTACATTTGTTGACATCATTTTCAAAACATCTTCTTTCTTTGAGCCTTTGGTATCAGCTCCTCATTTTTCTCCCTCTCTCCCTCCCCCCCTCCCCCTTTCATACTCTTGATAATTTATAAATCATTAATATTTTTTCATGTCTTACACTGACCGATGCCTCCCTTCACCCACTTTTCTGTTGTCTGTTCCCCTGGGAGGGGGGTATATGTAGATCATTATGATAGGTTCCCCCTTTGAGAGAAGCATTTTTATTTAAACATTTTTTTCATTTATTTTTCTGTACATTTTTATATCTTACTCATTGAACTTAACTGACAATATTTCTCACAATGAACTAAATAAAACTGTTATTTTTCATAGACCAGAAAGGGTTGAAACCCAGCAAATTCATTTAGTGTAACTAACTATATATACATAGAGTGTTTGGGATCAGTTTATAGATCTTTTTCTCATCCCCATTATGGCAGGCATTTTTCTAAGTGGGACATAGAGAGCTTAAGTGACCTGCCCAAGATCATTTAGCTAGTTAGCAGGGAGCTTACCTAGAAATGCTCTGTGGGAGAAAGATGAGGCTTTCTACTCCTGTAAAGAATTATAGTCTCAATTATAATTATAGTCTCAAAACCCCACAGGGGTTCTATAGGGTTGCTATGAGTCAGAATATACTCAATGGCAGTTGAGTTTGAATTTTGTTTTGTTTTCCTAACCTAGAAATGACTCCATATGAAACTTTTAGCTTAAATACTTTGCTTTTAAGTTCAGGCCATTCTGGCGTTCTAGAAGGATCAGCATCCTGGAAGTAGCAATTATTCATGGGAAATATGATAGTTTGGGCATTTGAGTTTTGGATATTTTGTGGGAACTAGAAACGTTTACATGATAAATTCGCAAGCAGGCTGCGTTACAAACATCTTTACTTGTAGCCAAAATGATCTCAGAAATAGTGAAAATCCCTCACAAGGGTTCACTTCATCACACTCAACCTTGTTTCCACTTCTTGGAAATGTAAATATCTGTTTGCAGGCTGCTGAGCACTAGGGAGGGAGTCTCCTTCCCTGTAGGTCACAAGTCAAACCAAGCTCTTTGCCATTGAGTCAGTGCCGACTCACAGCGACCCTATCGGGCAGGGTACTCTAGTCTGTTTCTGGGAGTGGAAAGCCCTGTCTTTCTCCCTCGGAGAGGCTGGTGGTTTCGAACTGTGGACTGCAGCCCAGCTCATAAACACTTCAACCCTCCCCTCCCCCCTCCCACAGGCTCCTACTCCGATAGCTCAGGGCTGGGGAATGGTGGGCCCTCAGGCAGTAAAAGGACCCTCAAAATCATTAACACTGCTAGGTTTCTGGAGTGGTTGTACCTCGGTTCTTTGCTTGCCACGCTGAAAGAATTCACGCCGAAGCACAATGTGTCATCCAAGTGAGTTTTATTTAGGACAGGACAAGTTTCAGGTTTTACAATCCCCAAAGGGTACACACTATTTCTGGAAAGCGTGCCAAGCTGTGCGGAAGCCGCACAAAAAACCACGTGGAAAAGAACACCCACGTGTGCAGAACTGGGGAATCCCCGGGACCAAGAAGTCAAAAGAACAAGAGAGAAGTACTGGCACGCACTCCCTGCCTTTATTCTATCCTGCCTGGCATGGTTGAAGGTATTAGCCGATTCCATTAGCTGAGTTTGGGCCCACCTATGTGATGTACCTACGGTGGGTGTGCCCAAGGTATTGGTTTTACCTGGACCTAGGGGGCTTGTGTCTGAGCATGCTCAGTTTTGGGTTTCACCATAGGTGTCCAATGGTTGCCTGATTTCTTTCCAAGCCTTCTATGTGGGCCTTTGCAGGCATTGGGGAGACAACCCCACCTGTCCCTAAATCTAGCTCCCTAACAATACCAGCGAACATCATAGCCTCCCCCAAGACAAGCAGTTCCAGCCATCACATGAGGGGTGAGTTAACTGTTTGACCAAATATCGCAGGCTAATTTTGTATGGCCCGCAAATGAGGTGCTAAGTATCGAAATGGCCTTTGGAAGGAAAAAGGTTTCCCCACACCTGGATGAGGCCAGCCGTTTGGAGCTTTTCTCCAGCCTTGGTTCTTAGGGAGTCGGCGAGAGTCCCGAAATATAAGACTCCTCTTTTTATCAGCTTGGCTGGGAGAAGATAAGGCGGCAGGAAAAAGTGAGTGAGAGATGAGAGTCCAACTGGGAGTTGAAGCTTTAAGATTGCCAAAGAGGCTCAGCTGCCCGCAGTGGGAAGGTCCCATAAGTCGTGTGCACCACCCTGATGAACTCTCAAGTCCCCCCGCTTGGGGTCGTGAGGAAGCCTGATAGGACCCAGCTGCTAGAATGATTGACAGACTGCCCTGCGGTTGGCAGATGGTAGTGTTGAAAGGCGACAGAGTGTGGTTCAGGCAGTAGTTGTAGAAGTTCTAGAAGTTCTAGTTGTAGAAGGTCAAGGTGTTCTGGTTGGAATGGCACTCAGGGATGAAGAAATTGCAGACCCTGTTTGTGTTTGAATGGAGGGTGTGGAACAGGGCTTCCATCAAACAAGGGGAAGGAAAGCTGTGTCGTCCGGGCCTTCCAGGCCCAGACGAAGGATGTTGAGGAGTTTGGTTATCTAGTGTCCCATCAGGTACAGAGAAGGGGAGCTGGTGCTGGGGAGGATGGGCCCAGGAGGGGAAGCAGGGTGGGTGGTGAAAGCCAATAGGGGACAAAGAGATCAGGCAAGTGGCTCAAAGACCTTGAAGTCTGGGCAGCGGCCAAGGAGGGAAGAGGGAAGACCTGGCAGGATTAATTTGAGATTTCCAAATGTTTGGGGGCTCCAATAGGCTGAGGCCCAGATGGTGTTGCATCTTGATGGAACACTTTGAGAGAGCAGGGAAGCAGAAAAGACAAAGTAACACACAGAAGGTAGGAAAGGTAGGGAGGGGCTCAGATCGCATCCAGGCAGACTAAGAAAGCACAGTCTCCAGACAGAAGGAGGAAATGAGCTCTGTGCGTTATATTGCCCAAAGTCATCGTTTTCACTTATTATCACCTCTCGACATGCGTACATTTAGGCATAAGCCACCTAAATTATTTTACATTTCAAGTTTTTCATCTATTAAGAATTTCAGAATGTGCATTTCAAGGCACAGTTAACCATTATTTAGCAAAAACAGACCCACTGCCATAGTCTATTCGGAATCACAGCGACCCTCTAGGGAAGTGGTTCTCAACCTTCCTAATGCTACGACCCTTTAATACAGTTCCTCATGTGGTGACCCGTATGTGGACATTTCTGCATGTGGGCAGACCTGGCTGGAGACGGATAGGGGCGCGGTGCCCTGGTTCCTAAAACCATCAGAAATAGGGTCTTAGGTGACACCTGTGAAAGGGTCATTCGCCCCCCCCCCCAAAGGGGTCATGACCCACAGGTTGAGAACTGCTGCTATAGTTTCCGAGACTGTAAATCTTTATGGGAGCAGACAGCCTTATCTTTTGCCCATGGAGCAGTTGACAGGTTTGAACTTCCGACTTTGAGGTTAGCAGCCCAATGCCTAACCCACAGGGCTCCTTTAACTAGTATTCATCACTCACTGCCCGAGAGTTGATTCTGACTCATGGCAGCCCTGTAGGGCTGGGCAGAACTATCTATCAGCTGCCCGGGTGCGTTTCACAGGCTGTAACACTACGGGAGCAGAAAGCCTCATGTTTTCTCCCATGCAGCAGCTGGTGGGCTCACACTGACCTTTTATAACAGTCACCTGCCACACCACCAGGACTGAACTCCTTTCAACTATGTATAGTCCAGGTTAAATGATCTCAGATGAAAGTCTTCATTTTTATCTTGAACGGCTCCGCCTGCAGCTTCCATGTAGAAACCCTGAGATACATTTCCTCAGGTGACAATGCTGTGGGGGTGGGGAGTGGGGGAGACCGCAGGAGCTAGTGAGCTCCAGAGTCCCCTCCATGGTGGAGAATGTGGCTCCTCACGTCCTGCGGTGTCTTCCCATCACCGGGGACATCATTTGGCTGTATGCCGCCAGCAGAGAGGCATACTTCGGTCCAGACATCCTCCTTTGCCCTACCTTCTAATTGCTAGCCAGCGTTTCCCAGGGTGGGCGTACTGCTTCTCAATCCTCGCTGGGGGGAGGAGGGGCGCTGGAACGATGGGGGAGGGCTACCAAAGCACATACCTACACTGGATCCTGGATTATGTGCTATAGTACAGAGTTGTGCATTGGGGATCAGGGTGTGCTGCGTAATTTTCTGAAAAGAGGGCAGTCGGCCAAATAAGTTTGAGGACCTCTGTGCTGGCTCCTGAGAACCAGCCCCTGTGAGGAAACGGTACCTATCAATTTATTTAAAAGGCCATTTTAGGGGGGGGGGCTCTTCCAACTCTTAACAACCCATCCATCAGTTGTATCAGGCATATTTGTACGTATGTTGCCATCATTCTTTTCTAGCCATTTACTTTCTATTGAGCCCTTGGTATCACCTCCCTCCCCCCACCCCTGTGACCCCTTGATAAATAAATTACTTGTGCACTTTTTCTTTCTTCTTCTTTTGGTAGCCATGCAGCCATCCAGCCCAACCCCTCTTCCGCCCCAGGGCCCCGTGAAGCCCAACAACATGGTGACGGTCACGGGGATTTCCCTGTGCCTGTTCATCATCGTGGCCACCGTGCTGGTCACGCTGTGGAGGAAGTTCGGCCGGGCTCCCCGGTGCAGCGCGCCCACGCGGCACAGCTCCATCCACTCCCCCGGCGGCCGCAAGCACTCGGACGAGGAGAACATCTGCGAGGAGCCGAGCGAGCCGCCGGGCAGCTTCTCGGACGCGGGCGACGGGCCCTGCGGGAGCCCGGGCGACCTGAGCATCCCCCTGACCTCGCGGCGCAGCGGGGCCCCGGGCCCCGAGGACGACGCCTCCGGCAGCGAGAGCTTCCAGTCGAACGCGCAGAAGATCATCCCCCCGCTGTTCAGCTACCGCCTGGCCCAGCAGCAGCTCAAGGAGATGAAGAAGAAAGGCCTGACGGAAACCACCAAGGTGTACCACGTGTCCCAGAGCCCCCTGACGGACACGGCGCTCGACGCCCCCGCCGGCGCCGGCCCCGCCCCCGCCGGCGGCCCCGCCCCCTTAGACTCGGAGAACCCGGAAGAGGTTGCGGCTGCGGCCAACAAGTTCCGGATCAAGGCTCCGTTCCTGGAGCCGCCCGCGGGCGGCGCGGCTGGGGACCGGGCCCTCGCCCGGCTGGATGTGAGTGTCGCCCAGGCCGGTTGCGCCATCAGCCCCAGCCAGACGCTCATCCGGAAGTCGCAGCTGAGGCACGCGGGCAGCCGCGGGGGCCCGTCGGGGCGGAGCCACCCCAGGGGCGCCCACTTCCGGAGGACCGCTAGTTTTCACGAGGCCAAGCAGGCGCGGCCGTTCCGGGAGAGGAGCCTGTCGGCGCTGACCCCGCAGCAGGCCCCCACCTACAGCTCCCGGGCGCGCCCCTGGGAGCCGGCCGGAGACAGAGGCCGACCCCCGAGTCGAGGCCCGCATCCGGGTCCTGAGAAACCGGAGCTCTGTCACGGGGCGGGCGGGGCGAGTGGCCTCGGCGGCCCCTTCGCGAAGGCCCACACCCTGGCCCTGCCCTCGAGGAAAGCCGAGCTCGGGGATCGCCCGGCGGGAATGGAGAGAACAGAGCCGCACAGGGCTCGGAGGGGACCGTCCCCCAGTCACAGGAGTGTTTCCAGGAAGCAGCCTTCGCCCACGTCCCCCAAAGAGAGCTCCCCGAGGGCCAGCCCTCTGAGCCCGCCGCTGCCCCCAGCTAGAAAAGACAAGTGTCAGAGCTTCCCGGCACACCCCGAGTTCGCCTTCTACGACAACACCTCCTTTGGCCTCACGGAGGCAGAGCAGCGGATGCTTGACCTCCCTGGGTATTTTGGGTCAAACGAAGAGGATGAAACCACCAGCACGCTGAGTGTGGAGAAGCTGGTCATCTGAGCCGAGAATCCGCCGGAAACGGGCCACACCAGGATGGCGATAGCGACTCCTTTGGTTCTCTGGACTAATTTTATTTTTTGTGTGTAACTATCCGAATGCCAGAACGCATTGCCATCGAGTCAATTCTGACTCCCGTGACCCTGTAGACCAGAGTAGAACTGCTCTTACGGGTTTCTGAGATTGTAACTCATCTTTCTCCCGAGGAGCAGCGGATGGGTCCCAACTGCTGACCTTGTGGCTATCAGCCCAGGGTATAAAAACAGGACACCACCAGGGCTCCTGACAATTTTACACAGTGGGACAGAAGACAGGGAGGAAGTACCTCACAAAGGAGGGCGTGAGCTCCTGAAAAGGAAGCTATTTGTCCCCTGAGCGACTCCCTTTCTTCAGTTTTGACTGGCTTATCACTAATAACAATAATAAAATTGCAACAAGTAAAACAAGGCTTGGTCTCTCATGTGGGGATGGAAGATAATACACTGCAACTTGTGACTGAAATCTTTTGAACATTTGGCAGTTTCCAAATTGAAAGAGAAATGTGACTCAACACTCCAAAGGATATGGAGTAAAGTTAACTTGGTAACACAAGTCCTGAGTAAGGGTGTGTGAAATAAGGGTGTAACAAAACTCTCCACATGGACAATTCACCGACCTTAACTATGCTTTTCACACTCAACCATTAGCCATTTCCAGATTTTTCCATTACCCTTAACAGAAGCTAAGAGGTCTTCTAAGCATGAAGCCCCCCCCTTTCCCACTCCCTTTTAGCCACCCTAGATAGTTACTAAGAAGTTTTGGTCTCTTTACATATGCATCTTCCAAATAGATTCTACAAGTGAGATCAGATGGTATTTACCCTTTTGTAACATCACTTAGCAGAATGCTTTTAAGCTCATCTATGTTGCAGCATGTATCAGAACTTCCTTTTTCTCTGGGCAATGCCCCATTGTGTGCATCATATTTTGTTTGTCCTTTCATATGCCGATGGGCATTTAATCTGTTTCTCCCTTCTAGCTTCTGTGATTTCTGCTGCACGGACATTCCAAAAACAAACCCACTGTGAGAATCAATTCTCACTTATACTGACCCTATAGGACAGGGTAGAAGTGCCCCCAACAGGCTTCTTAGTCTGTAAATCTTTATGGGATCAGAAAGCTCCTATAAATGGAATGGCTAATGGCTTTGAATTACTGACTTGATGGTTAGGAGCCCAACATGTAACCTACGATGCCACCAAGGCTCCTAGTAATGAGCATCAGAGCACAGATCTGTTTATGAATTTAAATGTTTTTAATTATAACAACAAAAGAATGTCTTTTACAGGTTCATTATTTGGCTGATTAATGACCCCCATCAGGCTTCCATGAAATGGTGACATCACCTGCGACTCCAGGAGAATGTTCAGGTCAGAGTTGGATGAAAGCATAGTTCATGATTTAGTTTATGGGTATAGCTCATGGGCAGCTAAGAGCCCAGTAGCTTGTGAATTATTCTGTGGAGAAATAGCTCAAGAAGCTGATTATTCAGGTAATGAGTCTGATGAAGATCTATCTATCCATTCATTGCTGTTCAGAGCACATGTTGGAAAGGTAGCTGCTTAGAAAGCATCATGTGGAAAATGGGCAGCAGGTGCAGGCCAGGAGACTGCCTGGCCTTGCTGCTGAGATCTCTCCCCTTGGGCCAGGCTGCCAGTGGAAACCTGCCCTGCGGTGGTGTCCCTCTGAACCATGTGCATGTTTAAAGACAGTGCCATCATTTTATTCAGAAAATGCATGCCTTAGTCTCAGGTATATGGAAGGTAGGTACAGCAGATTATGATTTTATAAAGTTTTCTTTCTTTTTTTCTTAATTGGAAAAGGTAAGGAATCGAAGATATTTTTAGAAATTGAGAGTTTCTTGTGTTCTTATCTTTCTACCACATTTTATGGTAGATGAGGAATTTGAGACTGAGACAGTGTTTCTGTTTCTTAGTGTTACTGTCACAAATAGCACAAAGAGGGTGGCTTTAAAGAGCAGAGATGTGTTTTCTCAACAGTTCTAAAGGCTAAGATTGAAGTTGTTAGGAAATGAAATGACATTACTTTGGGCAAATCTGCTGCAAAAGACTTCTTTAAAGGGTTAAAATCACATTGAAGATTGAGGTGTGCCTAATTTAATCAAGAGGTAGCATATGAGCAAGAAACAATGGTCTTGAAGGAAGAAGTTCAAGTGGCACTAAAAGCAATAACCAAAAACAAGGCTTCAGGAATTGATGAAATACCAATTAAAATGTTTGAACAAACCGATGAACCACTGGAAGCACTCTCTCACATATGCTAGGAAGGTGACCCAACAGAATGTTCGACGTATAAAACAATATCATTGATATCACATGCAAGTAAGTTTTTGATGAAGATCAACAACAGTTGCAACAGCCCATTGACAGGGGGCTGCTAAAGGTTCAGGCTGGATTCACAAGAGGATGTAGAATAAGAGATATTGCCGACATCAGATGAATCTTGACTGAAAGCAGATATTGTCTGGAAGATGTTTGTGTTTTATTGATTCTGCCAAGGCATTCAACTGTGTGCATCGTGACAAACTGTGGCTGCCTGGAGAAGACTGGGAATTCCAGAACATTTGCTTGCTCTTAGGGAATTATACATGGATGAAGTAACAGTTGTGCGAGTGGAACAAAGGAACACTGCGGGCTTTAAAATCACAAAAGATATGTATCAGGGTAGTATCTTTTCACCATGTTTATAAAGTCTGTATGGTGAGCAAGTAATCAGAGAAACTGGGTTATATGAAGACGAATGTGACATCGATTGGAGGAAGGATAATTAGCCTTCAGTATGCAGATAACATAGCCTGTCTTGCAGAAAGTGAGGAGACGAAGCTCTTGCTGAAAAGATCAAGGACTGTAGCCTTCAGTATGGGTTATAACTCAATGTAAAGAAAACCAAAATCTTCACAACTGGACCATAGGTAAGACAAGTTGTCAAGGAACTTGCTTGGGTCCACAATCAAAGCTCATGGGAGCAACACTCAGGAGATCAAGCAATGCCTTGCATTGGGTAAATCTGCACAATATCTCTTTAAAGTGTTGAAAAGCAAGGATGTTACTCTGAGAACTAAGGTATGCCTGCCTAAGCCCATGCTTTTAAAATCGCATTATGCACACTGAATGAGGAAGACCAAAGAAGAATCAATACATTTGAATTATGGTGCTGGTGAAGAAAGTACCACGGACTGCCAAAAGAGCAAATCAATCTATTTTGGAAGAAGTCCAGCCAGAATGCTCCTTAGAAGCAAAGATGGTGAGATGTCGTCTCACATACTTTGGACATGTTGTCACGAGAGACTGGTCCTTGAAGCAGGACATCGTGCTTGGTAGAGGGGCAGTGAAAAAGAGGAAGGCCCTAGATGAGATGAACCAACACAGTGGCTGTAACAGTGGGCTCAAGTATAAGAACATTAGTGAAGATAGCCCAGGACTGGTAGTGTTTCATTCTGTTGTATGTAAAGTTACTATGCATGGGAACCAAGTAGATGATACCTAATGACCAGAACTTGGTGGATGGTGTTTTCAGTTGATTAATATGCACAGGAAAGCTGGACAATAAGGAAATCCCAAAGAAGAACTGATGCCTTTGAGTTATGGTGTTAACAAAGATTATCCGATATACCATGAACTGTCAGAAGAACGAACAAATCTGTCTTAGAAGAAGCACATTCAGAAGCTTCCTTAGAAGTGAGGATGTCAGGGCTGGCCCCAATTCCAGCTGTATAGACAACCCTACACCACCCCCGAATAATTTATTTCAGAGGACAGCACTGAAGCTACAGCTTAGGGAGAGGGACATGTCTGATCAGAGCACACAGTAGCAAATGGAGGGGGAAGAAGAAAGTGTGGAGCACATCTTGGCCCACCAAGCCTTGAGGACCATAACCCTACTCAGAGCAACCAATACACAG